GTCCCTGTGTTCTAAAGTTTGGAACCCAAAGGAGGGAAAAGGAGTCCTACTGTCCCATGTGTATGCATTAATTCATTAGAAATCTGAATGTGTTATACATACTTTAGATTCCCTGAAATATAAATAGCTTGAAGAAACAAACTATGCCCTGCATTTCTTTTAAATGCCCAAGCATTTGACACAATGGACACTCTAAAACAAGCCCAGCTTTTAAAAAAAATGTTCTACATCTGTCGGGGGCCAGCCCCAACTACTGAGGTGTTAGGAAGTGAGACAGGCAGGGCCATAACATGGGAAGGCATCGGCGAGCGGAGATTCAAAAAGGGGTTAGGGGAGCGGGCACCGGGAAGACACAGGAGTCAGAGTTGGGTGCAAGTCTTCCTGCCCATTCCCACAGCAGATCTTTATTTATACTGTGTAGCAAGTAGTTAATTGCAATAATGTATAGGGTAATTAAATGAGAGATCCCAATAATTGTCATAAATGTTCTCAAGGACAAGGGGAACAAAGCATTTTATCTCACATTTTATGTTATAATAAATTATACATTTTTGTGAAAATTGTCATGTGTACAGATATTTAGTTATAACTCAAGGGAAGAGGGGTCTGGGATAGGATGAGCTTGTTAGCAAAGGTTATTGGGGTCTTAGGGAAGTAATAAATTGTATCAGCAGTGTTATCAGTGAATGCCTGAAGAAAAGCAAATGGTCAATTTAAGGATAGCAGAGAGTAGTTAGTGCTTGTTTTAAAAAGGAGTAAATTAAGAGAAAGTTGTACATCTGTGTATTAAGCAAACAAGGTTAAAAATTGTCCATGAGTTCTTATGCACAGGGAGTCTTATCTGAGATTTGCTTTTTATTTTAAAGAAACCAAGGAAGGTTCCCAGTTTTTATGCCCTAGGGCTCTTATTTCTCTAGGCTTGCTTTTGTCTCAGGAGACAGAGGAATTTCCCACCCTGGGGCAACTTGCCTGGGCTAGGCAGCCACTTAGGAGGCTAAGGCAATTCAGTTGTAAACTCGTGGTTGCTCAGAATATTTTGATATTATGATTATACAAAAAAGGGAAGTCATAACATAAGTTAGCAGTGGAAATTCTGATTTCTCGGAGCTTTTCGTTTTCTATCCGGAATTTGTCAGTCGATAGAAGTTGCATAGCTTGTGTCATACATCCCTTATAATCAGGGAAATGTAAAATCAAAACCACAATGAGATATCACAATACAGCAGTAAAAGTAGTGTATATATATATATATATATATATAAAACAGCAAGAACAAATTCTGGTGAGGATATGATGGAAAAGGAACTCCCCTACACTACTGATGGGAATGCAAACTAGTCCAACCACTATGAAGAGTTGTGTAGAGGTTTCTCAGACTACTGTAAATGGGGCTAACATATGACCTAGCAATTCTACTCATAGGGATCTACAAAAACAACACAGAAACAGTGATTCAAAAGAATACCTGTACCCTTATGCTTATTGCAGTAGTATTTATAATAGGGAAAACCTGGAAA